ATAATTAAATACATCAGTTCGAGAAAATTATGTTTGCTTAAGATGCAAATTACGCTCGGTTTAAAGTGTGTTTCATGAAATATTGAATAAAAATGTCCAACGCTTAATTTGGCACATCCTTAGGCGAGTTTTCGGTCGGAGACCGTTGACCGAAAACGAGGAGAAAAGAGTGTGCTGCACGCGGTAACGAGTCACGTGCGCCGTTCGAACCTCTCTTAATCATCAATTAAAATATTCGGCGAAAGTGCAGTCGTCGTCGTTATAACAATCATTTTGATCTCGTAACTTTTGACATTAATACGGCATGTTCAATTGGAAAATTATTTGAAAATCGTATTATGTATATTAAGTAATCCAATGAAATGTGAATAAATTGATAAAAATAAAAATAATCCTTCTTAGTCAGGTCTTTCGTTAAACGTTTTTCTGCTCCCCATCACCTCTTTTTTACAATCGAAACGATATTATTTGCATAAGAATTCTTGAACCAGACATATTAATAATCTTCAATTATTTCATGTGTAAAAATATATTTACATAAATAACAGAATTTTTTTTAATTCGGGACGATTTTAAAAAATGACCAATTTATTGATTCTCCATTATTCTAGTTTTAAATAAAATAAAAATATAGATTTTCAGGTTAAAATTAATTCGTTTGTGTGTAGAAGACACCAAATGACAAACTCACAAATCGACCTGCATTCGCGCGAGGGCGTCGTTCGGGACGACATGCCTTATAAGCCGCGAAGTCAAACCTCGCCGGAGGACCGGATATCAATCTTGAAGACGCGGCGGGAGATGCACGGGAATCAGGGACGCAATACGGCGTTACCTGCCGGTACCTCCGAAAGTAACTCAAAACGTTGTTGCACAGTCCCAGCAACTTTCCCGTCATCGCGGCAGTCGCATGCGACGCGGCGATCGTACCGTAAATACGGCCGAGATAGAAAGCAGGGTAGAAAGAGAAGTGGGCGGTACGCCGCGCCCCATATCGGGACGGTGTCCGATCTGTCAAGTGAATAAAAAATGAGGTGCACCGAGGTGCATCGTACGCGATGTTGGTCAGCGAGAGACGACACGTCGCCCGGGGCTGCACAATTGCAGCAGGTTTTATCGATTGTGCCCTTAAGCTATCCCCCTCCCTCTCGCCCGTCGTCCACCCACGATTAGTTATCACGCGCGTTATTGTGCATGTGTGCGATGAGTAACAAGATGTCTTACGAGATACGCGTTTTAATATAAAATGCAAAACGGCCAATAAATATGCAAGTTAAATAGCAAGTACATTTTGCGGAATATAAAAGTTGATAGCTTATCGTCTAAGTAAATCATCAACGCGCGTGGACGTATAGTATAACATTGTTAACTTATCGCGCGTGGTTGCGGGTTTCAATACGTGGTCACCGTTTTCATAACAGACACGGAGCGCGGCAAGAAGAACATGCAATAAAACTCGTCTTCGTGGAACATCTTTCCGATTTTTTGCAGAGCTGACACCCAGAGTGGTGATAACTCGCCACGGGAGACTCGCCGCCGTTAACAAACGATCAGATAGAGCCGCGAAAATGTTAGCCGGTGATGCGGGAAATTAATGATCCGCGGTGTGTTCGACGACGGGAATCTTCGATTACGTTAACGATCGGCCGGTCTCTCCTCGGGATATGCACTCTACTTTGGAAATGCGCTCCTAAATCGCGAGATAAGCAGAACGTTAGCCGCTTTCACGACTGATATTTATTTCGCGTGTCCTTTGTACACCTACCTGACGCGGCCGCAGCAGCGTTACGTAACGCGGCTAATTATAAGTCCAAACGAATCGTGCTATAACTTTCCCCTATATTCATCGGACGATCGTTCCGCGATCGGCCAGATAGCGATCGTTCATTTCGTTCCCTTACGCATTCAATTAACGTTCCTTCTCCAAAATCCACGTTCTGCAAAAAGATCTTCTCACGAGTTCAATTGTATTCGCGCGACAGTGACCTGATACGAAAGTTGAAAAAATCGACTGATCCTTTTACCGAAAGTTTTTAGAGAAAGTTTTGAAAAGGTTTTCCCCTGATAGATTTTCATTGATTAAGTCATCGTTGCGCGAAGTACATCATTTAGCTTTCAGTGATAATGTTTTTTTCATGAATCTCATTATTTAACGCTAATTATATTTGACGGTTTAGAATAATTTATGTCTTAAAAAATAAAAGTGACATTTAATTAAAATAAAAAATCGAATCGCTTGGTGAGTTTTATCTTAAAACGTAAATTAGACCACGAATGATATATATTGGGCAAAGCTCCTAATGTTTTTATATGATATAATATTTTGTAAATGTTATCTTACCGGAAAATTATCGCGCCGTAAATTTACAGTACTTACGCCGAGCTGACGTTTCGTTGTAATCCGCGGCGAGCTAAAGTATTCCAATGAGCAATCGCGAGACGCATTTTAGCATTTATCATGTCGAGCGTCCTCGACTTTCAAAGAGAGACGTTCGCCTTTCTACAGTTTCCCCTTCGCGTTCCCTTCCTAGTTCCGATTGACGGATTATTTTATAAACCAACCCCAACGCGCTTTTCATGCACGGCTCGTGAGCCGCAAAATGTAAATGCGCTCTCGCGAGAAAATCGTTTGGATATATCGATGACGTGACTTTGTGAATCACGCGGGTGCACGGCGCACCGCGGCGGCGGCGGCGGCGGCGAGCAGCTGGCATTCCTAGAGACACACGAGAATTTATTGTCGTGCTACGTGCCCCTTACATTTCCCGTAAAAGAAGAAAACTAATGCCTATCGAGGCATAATTCACTGTTCCCCCGTCGGATCCTGTCTAATGTTACATCGGTATACCTCGCCAGTAATGTCCGCGATCAATAATCGCACGTAGGAAAATGTACGGTCTTCCCACCAAAGTTTCCTCAAAGAAGAGAGAAAGAGAGGGACTGCGACGTCGCTGAATTAGTACTAATTAACGTTGCTAATTAATCTTAACGATGTCCCCATGATTCGCTTTGACATTGAACATCTTGATAATTTACATTTTCATCTCCAAGTCGACTCCACGAGATTTAATGCCTTATTTTTGCTGTGTCTTAACACGTAACTGTCACGATGGACATGCGTCTGACTTTTCAATGCCACCTTGGTGATTATTTGTAACTGACGCTATTACAATTTTTCAGAACGTTTGTAAAAAAAATAAATGTCTAATATAAAAATCTAAATATCTAATATAAAATTTTTAATAACACTAATAAGTTAAGAGCAATGTAAAAATGGATTACTTCACACAGTACTCTCATGAGGGTGCGGTTTTATTTAACTATATATTTTTCATTACACAACATTTTATCATATTACATACTTGCAATAACAATTCTATTATATAGCGTAAGACACGAAACTCGTTAGGCAGGAAACGTGTTAATCGCGAATGCACGTACTTCCAGCGAGCGGAATTTCCCAGACAAATATAACCCCTTCTATCTCGTGCGGAGACATTAACATAACTGATCGGCGATATTTACTGACAATCTCAAACATCCCAATGGAATAGCATTGATTATTAATTAGATACGCATGTTAGGCGCATGCATAATCCTGCAGCTTCCGGCACATGCATCGCTTTATATCAACCGTATACTGCGCTGTCGTGTATTACGTAATAACGTCGTAAGAGAAAAACAGATCCAATATTATTACGCGGCTGCGCGTTCCTTGCGAAACAAGAAGAAAAACCCCTTTTTGCTTTGCAAATGTATACGCGTGCGTGCGAGGGAGTGTTCCCGGGATCGCGCGTAACCCACATCCTCAGATGAGAAAGTTCCGACGCGCGGCGTTGTTTCTCTCACAATTTCATTATGCCAAAAAGATTGAAGTCCCGCGCCAGCGTCCTTTCTTTTATTTAATTATTTTTTTTTTACGCAACTCCTCGACTACAGTTCCGCCTCGATTAAACGCTTAGCGCGGGCTCGTTAGCCACGCAGCTACGGAAAGTTCAGCCGTGACGAGGTAAATGCGATATAGCGGGACGCTTCACATAATTATCGGTCGATAATGAGAGATTGTCAGGCCGTTTCCGATTGATTAGAGAGCGGACAATTTGACCGCGCATGTCGTGCGTTTGTCATTCGATTTACTGGCCGGGGGCTGCGAGGGATCCCGTTTGATTTTATCGCGCCAAACCGTAATTTCGACTTTGCAATTAGAAAAAATCAAGGTAAATAACCATTTGACCGACTGATAGTTTAATGACGGGGTGATTTGTTGATTAGAAACGCGAAACGCGCGTTAGCGGCGGCGATTAATGTTACGCAACACTTGCGTGAGCGATGAAACGGTGAAAAAAAACCAAGGAAAAAAATAAGTGGAAAATAATGACAAAGGAATTGAATTTTACCGTGTCCGCGGTATATCGCTAGGAAAATGCCAAAGCGATGGGCGGCGCCTGTCTAATAAATCCGATCCGGAAGGTACGAGTTTAAGCTATTCCCATATGTGTCACATACATGCGTTGTTCAAACGAAGGGTGTGCAGCTTTTTACAAAAAATCCACAGCATAAATCTGTCGCGACAGCGGCACGGCGAAACAGTCTCTCGAGCCACTCGCTCTCTTAATCTGACAGTAACGGCACTCAAATGCACGAATGATTGAAAATATGATAGACGCCACTAACAGAAACGTTATTTTTATTCACCAGACCTTCCAGATCTCTGGCCACGATCCGTCCAGCAGCAATTGCTTGAATGGCAATTTCCTTGAACTCGCCGTAAGAGAGTCTTACCTCGCCTCGTAAAGAGAAAATAGCGGAGGAGCACGAGCTTGAAAGAAGTTATATAACAGCATTACGCGTACATCTTTCCGTCTACACGAGACAATAGTAAAAAAAAAGTCCGAATAAATCCGATTAACGAAACGACAAGGAATACATATATATACTTTTGTATTTCGAACTCGACCGCGAGGTCTACCGGCGGGAATAACGATTGACCGCAAACTCACCGAGGCCGAGTGTTTCCGGCCGACTGTAAGTCGACGGAAAAGAAAAACGGATCCCCGCGCGGCGGATCGTCGTCGTGAAAGAAATTGTGACAATTGAGCAAGCGTCCTCCAACGGGGGACCCGATGACATTTAGCGCAGTGTGACATGGTGATCTCAGGGAAGGTGGTCTCTCCTCGGATGCTGATGTGGAGTGTGTTGTCTCTCGGCTCACCGACGGCAACGCACACTTAAACACACACGCGCGCACACGTGCGCACGTGCACGTAACGACGCAACGCCGGTGTTAAACCGTGGATCCGTGTAAACCCCCCTGTCTGTCCCCGGCACGGCGGCCCCTCTGTGTGTCCCCATGTACATCCTTACATACTATCGTAACGCGGTGACCGTCGGTGCAACGGACCGTCGGTGGTGTTGGTGATGCCTCCAGGGGTATATATACGACGAGCGCTGCGGGGCTTGATAAACACTTGCCCATCAGCGATTACTGCCGCAGCATGTACACGTCATTGGTAAGCGTTTAATTAAGAGGAAAAGAAAGCTCTCGGTGGCGGGAGGGGCGAGGGTTGGGAGGGGGGGAGGAAGCCGGGGATCAAGGATGCCGGAGGGCAACTTCCGCCGCGAGAGTATAACGATCCGCGGGTAATCGTATAGCCGGGTCGTGTGAATCTGACGTGCATTTCCGGTCCCCGGCGGTGCCTGGGATCCCCTGTGCGCGTATCCGAACGCTCTGTGAGTTACGTTGTTGTAAGTGACACTTCTCGATTATATCCGGTATAGCGTATACCCGGAAACTCCGGATAGACTCCGGGGACTCTCGGATGTCGGATGGGTAGAAACGCGGGGCGAAACTCCGGGATCGGAGGGTAAGTAGCGTGTCCCGGAGGACAGTTGGTGTAAGGATATCGATCGACATCGTCGGGATACACCCAAAATCTGCTGTGTTCGCGTGTAACACGTGTAAAACGGTTTCATGTTATGTTTAGCAACGATCGCGTGTATGACGAGCGATACACGGTATGTTTTAACCGGGAACTGAGACAGTCATATCTTGGCGAAAATACCGAGCCATGAATAAATTGTATCTTATAATAGACAGAAAGAGAATTGCGAGATAGCGGGGCATATTACTCTTTAATTACTTTCGCGTGCCTTATATTTTAACTATAGAATTATTAAAACTACATTTAAAATGATTAATTTTTTGCTAAATTTATAATAATACATTTTCTGAAATTTTCCGTTATATTGCAATATGTAAATTATTTAATTAATTATAGTATATTTAAATAGTAAAAATATGTATACGTTTATAATTCTAGCAATTCTGATAACAGTCGATAATTCTAGTGTTAACAGCATTTCAAAACGTACTAATCGAACTGTATTAATTGCTTAAAATCGAAGAGTTACTAGGCATAACAGCATTTCCATAAATCATAGAATATAACAGATCATTTCAGTTTTGGACAGGCAGTGTATTCGGTATGATTTGTTTAGCGCAACAATCTCTAAATCATCCATTAAGATAAATTCAGCTTCACAGAATAATTTCAGACTGATATTAACGTTTCCAATAATGATCTATTGTAGAAAATTACTTTTTGCATCCTAACAAGATATCGTCTTATTTGCAGTGTCAAATAATTATTCGCAAGACTTATACAATTCGGTAGAATTATATACAATAGTAACATCAATTGTATCAGCGTCGTAAGGCTTATTTTATTCAAGGTGCAGCGTCTGACCTAATAACGCTGATACTACCGCGATCCCTGTTGTGTCTGACTCAAAACGGTATCACTACTGGCGACGCGCAGCGCCCGTTTCCATTGACTCGTAGAGCTTTCTCTGCGTCGCAACACGACCGATCTAGCGATTGCGAATATCATTGTTGAATCATGAGTGATAAACAAAGATCACAATATACCAAACTTCGGAAACTTTAATGTTGCTATAATACGAATATTTCGATATCACGCATCTAATATTTCGACATAATATGTATACGAAATATTAGATAACGTATATCTAATATTCGCAGTATACGATTATATTGGAGATTGCGAAAGTTGTTAATTAATCTTAATTATTTCGTTTTTTTACTACGTCTCGTAATTCGCGTCTTCGAGAATATTTAAGTAGCGGTAGGTTATTAGCGCGTATCGCATAAACACTTGTGCAACGACGCAGAGTCTCAAACAAGGAAGCTAACGAGAAGGCTAATGTTCGTCCGATGTTTATGCACTTGGAAACTTAACCGGTGGCGGTTGACTAACGTTGCTTAGTTCTGCGCAACCGCGATCGAGCCAGCAGATACCGCGGCTCCCGATACTTTATCGTTGCCCACCGGTGTTAAATTATATTACGCCGCGGGTGCATTCCCATTTGCTCAATCGTCACTTTAATCGAGAGCCCATCGGATCGATATCGAGCGAACGATAGACCGATCTAACAAAATTATTATATTAATTATTATATCTTTAATCTTTAAATATGAGTATTACTTTTACTTTCATCTCACCGCTCGTGGATCTTTTTCCAATTTGTAATCTTGACTTCGATGCAACAGCCAATACCGCGAAATTTCATAACATAATGTCACGTTCAAATGATTTCAATCAATCAATCAATATTAGAATCTTTTACTCACAGGTTGTGTTTAGTTGTAAAAACGTACATATATGTGTGTGCTCTATCTGAAGATGTGAAAGCTTCGCTAAATGTGGGAGGTCAATACGCAGATGAACACGGCTTAGGGGAAAAAAAGGATTAATTAAGATAGTCGATGACACACGGTAAATCTGTCACCGCGGTATTTTCCAATGATAAATCATTAGTGAATGTTTTTAACGATTTAATGATGGCTATTAAACAAATAGTAACTTCATTAGTCTTAATGATTTTACAAAAGCAATTAATTTTGTTCAAAAGTACTGCAGTATACCATATTATATTGTCACCAAGATAATTACATTAATTAGACCTTAATGTTTGAATTTACAATTAAATACAAATTTCTCTGTATTAAAAATTTAACAGTAAATGAGATTTTTCAATTAAAATCCATAGCTAGAATAAATGCACTATCGCGAGCTTCCCGAGTCGCCCATAAATTATTTCCCTCCAAAGTAAATACGTATTATTCATCTCCCGCGCAATTAATATTTTTTTGCTCTACCATCGTCAGGTAGCCTTGATCGCGTTGGTAGCCTGCGCCGCGGCAGCGCCTGCCGACGAGCCGATACCGATCATCAGCCAAAGCCAGGACGGTCCCAATCCGGACGGGTCGTACAAGTGGAATTACGAAACCGGTAACGGTATCAAAGCCGAGGAGGAGGGCCACGTGGAGGACGCCGGGTCGGAGAACGAGGCGATGAAGGCGGAGGGCGGCTTCAGCTACACGAGCGACGACGGACAGGCGATCTCCCTGACGTACGTGGCCGACAAGAACGGCTTCCAGCCGGTGGGCGCTCATCTACCCACCACACCGGAAATCCCGCCGTTGATACTGAAGGCCCTCGAGTGGAACGCGGCGCATCCGTCCAAGGATGATGAGAACCAGGTGTAAAAACAGCGATACCGGCGCCGGCCGTCCAGCATGTGATCTCACGACCTCCACGAGTAATTATTCCGCCACGAGAATGGAAGACGATCCACGGTAATAAAGGTCCACGGTGACGCCACGGACGGACGGAGTGTTGCCGCCGCGCCGCCCGCGCGTCGTCGTCCCTCGCCCCTCGAAACGAACACGGACTACTCTGGTTCAAATTGTTGTAAATATTTATTGTAACACGACATTATACACATGCGTATATTTTACTATATTGTATTGTATTGTGTTAATATATAATATGTATTTGAAGAGACGCGAACGCGCGTACGCTGCACGACTGACTCGTCGTTAGTTGCACGCGTCACGGTGCATTAAGAATAAACGTTGCATCCCAGGAGAGACAGTCGCTATTCTATTAATAGGCCTGATCCCCCCGGCGAAACGCGCGAAAATGTGTGCTAGATTCTGCTGCAGATCCGCGGGCGTTTCAGGAAGGATGCGGGTAAAATTTGCGACGGTGCATTATAGACGTGGTATATAGCGCTGCACGTATTATCTTTCTCCCCATCTCCGTTCTGCGAATTAAGAATTAATTTCTTTTCTTTAACACACGCGTGATAAAATTAATCCTCGATTAGATTGATCCTTGATTGAAGATCGCCTGCGGCGTTTGCCGTCGAATCACGGGCTGTTTCCGGAATGTACAGTCCAGCGCGCGATTAAAGATGGACTAAAGATAAAGAGGAGCCTGCATTCGAGCATTATCTATGTGGATATACAATAGACGTCGGCCATCGCCATAAGCCAGACTGATTTACGATAGAAAGTCGCGCGACTATTACCGTAAGATATTACATCGCTGTAAACACAGCTGCCGCGCGCGTCTTTATTACAGCGGACCTTGCTCGCTATCATTAATCAATCACGTGGAGTGGAGTGGACAAAGACGTGGTACGCGCCTTATGTAACGCGCGTCATATGGGGACCGCGGGTAACTTTTGATTGCGTCTGGTGCAACGAGAGTTTAGACATCTCGACGGGGGCTTGTTTACTTAACCGCTCCGCGCCGTTAATAACGATTCGCGGTATTCATGGCACCATGGTAACAATCTAATTAAATTTAATCCTTATATAAGCCGGCGGCCGCGATCGAGCTCGCGGGCTGAAGTAACTGTTGCAGCAGGGTCAGATAAATCTCAATTCGTAAACGCGCACCGAGCGCTATAATTTATTTGAGCGATTTCGCGACAGCCAGTCTAAACTGTATTTTTTTCAAATATCTCTTTTACGACGACACCGCGCTCGAGGTCCTGCGACCTCGCGCTCTGTGGTAATCGGGAAGGGGTGATTAATAAAAATGTTGCTCTCCCGAAGATCGAGACGCGAGCTGTCTCACTCCACGCTGGTATACGACAAATATAAATTAGCTCTGACACATTCTCCTCATACGACTCTTTTCATCCAGCGCGATTTGCGCTATTACCGACGATCGAGGCTTCATCCCGCACAAAGAGATCTGCTATCTAAAGAGGAACGATGTACATACAAGAGCAATCGAATCTCCAAAGGCTGTCACTCCGCTGTCACACTTCTGAGACATGGGAGATACAAATCGGTGCTAACGCGTTTCTTTTCTCGGCCGCTTTCATTTCGCCTAATGATCGAATAGCGATACGCGCCGCGCTTCGCTTCTCCGATATCGAGAATTAACATGTCACGGTGATACCGCGGATAATCTTCTCGCGCGCGGCGTCGTTTTCGCAGGCAGCGTTGCAGTCATCTATCCGGGGAGACTTTCCAAAAGGTCGTCTAGGGGTCCGATTCGACACATTGACGTTGACATCCGACAGCTCTCGCGAGGGTGGAGGAACCGGAACCGATTATACGTCTCGCGGCGTTCTCTCGTTGAACTTTCACCGCAGGCGCCGCGACATTCGTCATGTATTGCCGTTTAGCACGACGTGAGTCGTGTTCTAAATTTGTTACAGCATCACGTAACAGCAACTTATATAAATCTTCCCGGCGCAAGCTCCCGCGCAGTTAAATCTTTCAAAGTTTATTCCCAGAGAAAGAGTGAGAGAAAGAGAAAACAAATTGTATACAAGCTTTAAATTATTTTTCCCTAAAGTACAGTTTCCTTCGACTAAGAATTAGTTAGTAAATCTTTTATGCCACTCAAAATTTAACGTAAAGTCATATTTCTTATTCGTAAATGTAAAAATCTCAGAAAATAATAGCGTATTTAAAACAAGCAGGAACATAAAGATTTCACAAAAATGATAGTTCTTGTACAAATGTTTCTCAAGTTAAAATTGTTCAACGTTTAAATTACTGAAGAAAATTATTCAATTGTTGACCTGTATTGTCAGGATAATAGTATTCTTCTTACGACACGAAGCTTTATTATCCGCGGTTAGAGAAAG